AATATATAGTGTAAGAAAACTGTATACTTTCCGTTGTATATTATGGACAGCCAATGTTACGAGTTCATTTGTTCAGAATATATATAATACTCGTTTACACACTTCTCAGATTGCAAAGGTTCCACGATGCCGACTTACTCACAATCAAAAATTTATCACATACATTGGACCAAAACTCTACAATTCTTTACCACCGTCACTAAAATGTATCAGAAGTTATACTAAATTGAAAATAGAATTGAAAACATTTATCAATCACAACTACCACAGATTGGAAACAATACTGGATAGTTGACTAATTCACCATACTGCAATCACTCAAAACAATGTCACAAGCTGTTGTTTCTGTTTCTTCTTTCGTATTTGATGCTCTAGTTATGCTAAAAGACTGCTCATCATTTTGGTCGTCCTTCTAGGACTTTCCAGAACTATTTAGTAGGTTCATCTTAGTTTGTAAATGTATTGCTTGTATTGGATTCGTGGCTGTAACACAAGCTTGGCTTAGATAGCCACGACCCTTCATAGATGTAAGTTGTAACGGTTTATATTTTATATTAATCTGAATTGAATAAATTTTGATTTTTTTTTGATGTAGCCGTTACTACGTGGTAGGAAATCATAATGAAGAAAAAATAAATGAAACATTATATGTTTTTTACCACTTTTATACTTTCATTTGTAACTAACGTTACTGCAGTTTCGTCCTATACGGACATTTTCAAAATGTCCGTATGAACAATTCTTGGCTCCCTTCGCTTGCTCAGGGCACATGATTCTCGGACCCAATGATCACTTGCCCCATGGTGTAGGGAGTGGTCGTTAGTTGATAAGGCTGGCGCGCCCTCCCGAATGTATTAGGGCTTTGGGGGATAGGGCCTGACCAGCGCATACTTCGGTTAAAAAAAAATACTTTTATTGAAAGGTTACTCAGTACATCTATTTGGTAATCGAACCCCATCGATGGAAATAATAATCAATTCGCTATAACGATTCTTTGCAGCTGGCTTACCGAAGAGCATAACAGAAGATTTAGATGAGTTCACAGAGAGACAGTATTTACTTGATTCAGTTATTAGAGAGTGCAGATCATGATTCATTTGATCGAGTTCAGTATTGAGTGAATTTTCATCGAATTCTAAATGCAACTGTGTATGGTCGGCGTAACAATGCATGTAAGTATGAAGAAGATACTGTGAGAACTGAGAAGTATATAAGGCAAAGAGCAGTGGACCTTGAACCTATTCTTGAGGGACCACATTATTTATTTTGAGGTAGCCGATTTTTTGTTATTGAGTACGACACACTGAGAATGATTGATTACAGAGTTATTACGCTAGAGAGAAAACCCAGGTACTATAGTATTGCCAGAAGTAGGGAATGGTTAATGCGATCAAAAGCTTTAGAGTAGTCTAGCGACACTAAAAGACAAAGTTTGTTATTGTCGACAGAACAATGTAAATCATCTACAATTTTCCAAATAGCTGTTGTGCAGCTGGTGTTGTGCAGATTTCATTTTCGTTGGTTTCATGAAACTTGAATTTTTGGTTATTCAGCTTTGAACTCAAATATTGTAGAAAAAATTGTTGATTTTCTTCAACAAAACACACTAGATAGTCCAATACACAAGATATTTTCACCTCACGTCAATTCTTCCATCTTCAACTTTTTCGGCAATGGCAACCAGATGCGTGTTCACATTATCAACTGTGAGAAAAGTATATGGCGATTATTTTTTCTCATGGATATCTGAAATTTTTTGTTTGATTACTTGATTACACTTCATTATGTGATCATCAGTTGATGTATTTTCTCATCCTTGATTTTGGTAACTTTATTATGTATTCAAATTGTTCAATCTCATCAAACACATAGGGGTTATTGTTACTCTAATATCTCAAAATAATTGTTTTTCCAAAAGTTGTCCTGACATTATACCTGAAGCTAATTTCCTTCAATATCTAGATAAACCATCAACATAGAAGATGACATTTGTCAAATATGAGCATTTCTGTAGAAGTGGATTGTAGTTTGTACCTATTTCATTTCATAATTCCAGACGTACATTTTTCTTGCAAACAGATTCAATGAAAGTTGTATTCTTTTTCGATTCTCGAATCCATAATTATTGTCATAGCAGTTTCTTTGATTCAGAAATATATTCAGTTACTCAGTATTCATCTAATGGTTTTTGAGAATTGTGTTATGAGCCTATTCGACCTGATTATTTTCATCGTGTAAATAAATAATGAGAAACGAATTTTGAGAAACGTGTAACAATTGCTCACTGAAATATTTTCTGCTGAAAAAAACGGAAAATAAAACTTAAGCGACTTCATTAGTAAGGTAATTGTGAAAAATACTAAAAATATTACATCAAATCTTTTCCAAAACCTCTATTTTCGGTCATCACTCATATAAATCCTATGATTACCTTATCGTAATTCTCAAATTGGAACGAAAACCAAACCACTTTTTTGAAAACCGCCCGATGCACAATCTTCAAACTTCCATCACCAACTCAAAGACTAAAAAATGAGTTGAAATTGTTTGAATTAATACCGTCTCCCCCCTTTTCAGAAGATAATTCTTTATCATCTCTTGATTTCTCGAATTCATCAAAAAATAAAATGGTACCCAGGTCAAAGGATGTTCAAAACATCGTTAATCGTGAATGGTGAGCACCGAATTGGGTCATTCATGCAAAATAAATGAGTTTTTCGTGTTGTTCCTTAATTTTTTTCTTAAAATTTTTCTCAGCATCTAGAGAGATGAAGGAATTGAGAAGTATGCAGAATAATCACCTAGTAATAAATACACTTCCATCAAGTTATAATAATGGGACTCAGACAAATGAATTCCCACGAATCATTTTGATTTTGCACTACATAATTTGTTTGACAGTCTTTCAGTTTTGAAAACACATCATTCGTTGTAAAATAATATAACGGTTAATATTGTGAGAAGGTCAATTTTGACAAAACATCATATAACGTTGTTGGAAAATCCAGTTCGAAATAAATGTGATATCTGTTTTTAAAAAAAAAATCTGTTTTACCGTTATTCATATAGATATTGGTTTGCATAAAATAATTTTGTAACGTAAACATGTACAATCATCTACAATGGGCAATTGACAAAACGATCTCGAAATGAAGATTGTTTATTGAAAGTTAATCGAAGAAGTGGTAATTCCATTATGAAATATACAGGGTGTTCCTTAAACACATGCTAATATTCAAGGAGGTAATTCTTAGACCTATTTTGAGGAAAATACTTCCTATGGACGTATGTCCTAAACGCCTTAACTTTTGAGATACAGGGTGGCAAAGTTTTCAAAAATAATCAGTTTTTTAATAATAACTGAGATAATTTTGTTGTACATCAGAAAATGCGCCTTGAGGCATGGAACATATGAACCAAATATGCCAAAGATGTCTACAAAAATATCTCAGTTATCATTAAAAAACTGATTATTTTTGAAAACTTTGCCACCCTGTATCTCAAAAGTTAAGGCGTTCAGGACATACGTTCATAGAAAGTTTTTTTCTTAAAATGGGTCTAAGAATTACCTCCTTAAATATAAGCATGTGTTTAAGGAACACCCTGTATAATTAAAATTCATTATTGGAGTGATAGTCACCTTAATGAAAATTGAATCATCTTCGAAAATCTGTACGCGGGTTATTCGAAAATGATACCACAAAATCTCAAAATCTCAAAGTTAAATTTTAATTGTTCAAGAAAACTTTGGTATTGAGCAATAACATGAGAACAAATAGCATAATAAAACTACGAGTGGTTTTATTATAATTAAATAGAACTGACCGATACATGTTGAAAATTTATATTAAAACTAATTGATACAGTTTATTGTATGATTTTCACTATAAAGGGTTTTATAAAAGCCGCGACACGTGTATGATATGATAAAACCACGAATCCGTAGTAGGACGACTGGTTTCATCTATCACTGGTTGCTCGATGATATCGCTCAACAATAACAAAATTTCAGTTCGAAAAAACGGACTTTCGTCTGAGAAAATTTCTGAAGATTATATCCTGGAATATTCTCAACTGAATGCATCGTCGATATGAGAACAAAAGATCAATTCTCAAATTAAATCAATTTTATTACCCGATAACGAGAAATTTGAACAGGAACATTTGTTTGAAAGCGAAATGTTGGAACAAATGAATACGTGATAACCAAAGTCGTATTTTTCAACAATAGCCTACCTACTTGACGGGGCTAGATGCATCCTACGTCGCGTATACTTTTTGATTTCGTTGAAATCTAGAATATAATTTCCATTCGAACTCAAAAAGTATTATAATGTCAGTTCAAGAACCAACACGAATCTCACAACACTCATCTACTTCTATAGACTATATTTGCACAAAACCGGAGGAAGAAAAATTGACGTGCAGTGTTATCCCATTCGGTCTAGCAGACCATGTAGATATAATTTCAGAATTCCCTATCAGAATTTATAACTCAGAAAAATCACTCAAGTTTAGTAGAATATGTAGCTCCTAAAATCTTAACAAATTCAAACACAACTGCAAGCAAACTGCATGGAAGAGGTTTTGTCTACAAGCGATTCTATAGGCGCCTTTCTTGGATTATTAACCAGAGTTTTTGATTAATGTTTTGCCAAACGGAAAATGAAGATTAAAAAAGATAATAAATTGTGGATCACACAGGGCATAAAAATTTCTGCGGCCAACTTGAGATCGCTACACTCAATAAAAAAATATTTTTACAATGAATTTTTCATAACATTTTTTAACAAATATCGCCAAAAATTTCAAATAACCTTCACGGTTTCTCTATACATAAATCCTTTTTCCTTGGAAACTTCTCTCCGTGTCTAAAAACAGCACTTGTAATTCCTCTTTTCAAAGGCGGTAATGCAGAAGATCCAAATAACTTCAGACCTATCTCCATGCTCTCAACACTCTCAAAAATTATAGAAAAACTGATAAAAAAGAGTATTACCTTTTTTTTTTAATACAATATATTAGCTAGCTGTCATTTTGGATTTCAGAAGGCAAAATGTACAAATGATGCAATCTTTTCTTTTCTTGAACATGTCTACACACATCTCAATAATGATGAGGTGGTAGCTACAGTATTCTGCGACTTCTCCAAAGCTCTCAATTGTGTAAATCATGAGCTTGCGGATGACACCACACTCCTTTGGCAAGGAAAAAAATACTTCAAATATGAAAGAAACTGTCTCTAGTGATTTATAGGTTGTAAAAACATGATATGACGCGAACTAATTGTGCTTTTATATCATTTATATGAAACTTACTCACCTTCATCTGTGATATTAACGAATTATACTTGAATGAACATATTCTTGAGAATAAAAACGAATCCAAATTCCTGAAAATCTTCATGGATAACAAATTAAAATTTGACCAACATATTTCAGCTTTGAATAAAAAATTGACATCAGGATATTATGCACTTAGAATAAATAGTTTCAAATGAACTGAGTTCATCCACAACAAAAATGGTATATCATTTCCTGATTGAGTTGCCTTCTGGGGATTTTGCAGTCAACAACTTTTTCATTTAGTTACTTATGCAAGATGGGAGTGCGTAAGTCATGCAGATCATTATTTTTGAGAGAAAAAATTCTTACTGTTACTTGTATTTTCATTCTGGGAACTGACTTATAAAAAATATAATATGGTTGGAACTCCGGAACATACAGTGTCACCATTAAAGTGCGCACCATATGGAAAACTTTTTTTTTCGAAAAGTTTCAATGATGTTTAACTTCGGCATTTGTTTGTGCTTTAAATTCAACTAAAAATGATGCGGCCAACTGCGACCCACTGACGTTCAGTGTTTGTCAAATTCAACTTATTTTTTTATAAAATTTTAAAGTAGGTCTTGACAAACAAAATGCATGCTATGGTAGTGTCAAGTTGTTGATTTACTTGTCAAATTTTTAACAGCTATTGTTGCAATAATGTTGTCTCATCAGGAAAGAATAGAAATAGTTTCAATATGTGGTGAAAATACACCATACCGGCAAGTAGCTAACATTTTTAATGAACGGCATCCAGGAAAAAATGTTCAACATACTACTGTGTCAAAGATAATGTCGAAATTCAGAGAAACAGGATCCGTAGCAAATCAATTTGAGAAAAAGCACACTCCAAGTAAATATGATGAGAAAGTCCAACTTAACATTCCTTAACAACCTTTTAAATAATGAGGTTAGTGAAGTTTTAGATAATATGCCTTTAAATATTGAATACGACCTATGATATCAGCTTGATGGCGCACCAATACATCACACGGTTGCTGCAAAACAGTCCCTCCAACCAATGTTCAGAGGCAAAGTTATTGGACGTAACTGAGAACATTATTGGCCACCTAGATCACCCTACTTAACGCCTTTAGACTTTTTCTTGTGGGGTTACCCGAAACAAAAAGTGTACCGAAGTAGACCTTTTACTGACATACAACATCTGGAAAATACCATTCGCGAGTGCTGTGCAAATATAAATCCCCGATTTATTAAAAATTCAGTTACAGATGTCAGTAGAAGAACCATAATTTGTATTGAACGTGGAGGACGACAAACTGAAATGTAGGCTATAAGTGTTTGACAACCTCATTTAGATCATTAAGTAATTTTCTGTACCCATTTGTATTTTCTATAATATTATTGTTGTTTAAAATTTAAAATAATGATAATAGTTCTATCGAAATCATTTCCATTTTTTTTTAGTTGCCTCTGCTTTTTCGAAATCTGTTTGAGAAAATAGCCAGGTGATTAAAACTTTGCACCAGTCATGTTAAAATTTTTATAGCAAATTTTTAATTTTCCTCTAAAAATGTCCGTATGAGTAAAAATGTATCAGAAAAGTTAAATTCCATGATGAGTTTGTTATGTATACATGAATTGATGACAATTAACCGAATTTGTTTTTTAAAATAAAGGGGATATCTGTCCAGAACGTTAACTTTATCCTAGTTGCATAAAATTCGGCATATGGATATAAAATTGCCGTAGACACAACTTTTTCAAGCAACTTTTTGTTAAATTCAATCTAGAAATGCACTTTTTCAATTTTTTTCAAAAAAAAAGTTGAATTTCAAAAACACTGAACGTCAGTGAGTCGCAGTTGGCCGGATCATTTTGAGTTAAATTTAAAGCACAAACAAGTGCTGAAGTTAAACTTCATTGAAACTTTTCGAAAAAAAAGTTTCCCATATGGTGCGCACTTTAATGGTGACACTGTATAAACTACATAACCCGGCAAGTAACAGAAAATAAAATATATCTTCCTGTTCCAAAAACAGGTCAGAAGTTTTCTTTGATTTATGAAAGTAAAAAGCTGTATAATCACATATCTCACGAAATTAGGAAAGAGGAAAGTATGAAAACTTCAGAAATCTTGTTAAAGATGCCCTTGCAAAAAAACCGTACTACAATCTGGATGAATATTACAATAGAACTTTGCTGTGATTTAATATATGCGATATTTTTTTGTTTGTTGTTATTTATATTGACACCTA